AATTCACGGTGAATGCTCCTCCCGGTGTGGATCCAGCCCCGTGGGGGCTGCGGGAGAGCCGTCCTCCCTGCTCACGTCTCCCGGAGCCAGCCATCACCTGCCTCCCCCTTTCACAGCCACCTGGGGCTTGGGGACGATGAAATGGGGAAATATTATGTCCCCTGACCAGCGTCCCCACGGGCAGCGGGGTGGCAGAGCCCTCCTCCCCACCTGGAGGTTTTTCACCCCAAAGCAGCAATTTAAGCAAAGTTATGGGCTAATTTTTATGCAATCTATATTGTGCTTTCCGATCTGACAATGATCCCTGCAAACACCCCTCTGGAAGCGCTGAGCACCCCAGCCCCAATTAACCAAGCGGTTGAGGCTGTTGCCATCCAACCGCATTAAATGCTCATCTGCCATTAATTAATTCGCACCAGCTGGCAGCTCCCGGCAGCCGCCCGCAGGGCGGGATGCCCAACCGCCGGCGTGGCAAAAGCCACCCAGATGCTTTCAACATCAGGCTCCTTCCCCGCGGCATCGGGATCAGCATCCCTGCCAGTGCCGCGGACCCACAAATGGTCCCAGCCCAGCCCAGGGGATGCCGGGGTTCAGCATCCCCGTGTTTTCCTCCCCGTCCGCTGCCGGGAACTGGTGTAGCAGAAAAGGAAAATCTCCGTGTGAAATTGGACGCTGCCTGTGGTAATAACTTGTTTCTGTACCCGGGGAGCTGGCAAAAGGGTTTATCTACCGCCGCCGGCTTTGAAGCGTGTTTGCATTCAAACAAACTCCCACATTCAATACACTTTTAATATTAATGCTGCTGGAGCCCAAGATTCAAATGCATCTTTTTTAATGGAATATCTTATTAGATTTGGAAATGGATGGATGGCATCAAAATTGAGAGCTGGCTGAATATTAAGTCAGGAAGATAAATACGCTGAGAGAACTGGGCTCCCCCCTTGAGCTCGCTGCTGTTTCCCGGACACCCGTGTGTGAATCCACCCGGATCACGGCTCCTTGGGGATTAATATATTTGTTTTGGGGAGATGGGTCGTGCTATGGCTCCTGTAACGGCGCGTGGTGCCTGTTCCTGGGCTGGCTGAGCTCGTGGGAGGGTTCAGGTCTGGGGGCACGTAGGATGATCACGGGAGAAGTTGGGGTACCCCCAGCCACCCATCGCCCCCTCTGCATGGAGCCGGGGTGAAGGGCTGGGGTCTGCCGCCGCGATCCCTCCGGCAAGTGATGCCGGGTGGGTGATGGGCTCTGCCGGGCTGGAAATCGCAGCCGTGAAAAGGGATATATTGGTGTCTGCAATTCCTCTAAATGACACGCTTTAAACGAGATGTAATTCCCCCATAATTCTCCTTAAATGCCCACTCAGGAGACAATGATAGGGTAATTTTACTCACTTTGTCCAGCCTGCAACGCAAGGGCTGTTGTGGTGAGAAGAGAGCCCGAGGGATCTCTGCAAGTCGGTCCGGCTCCTTTCCTCTATTTCTCGCCAGCACTTTCCTGGGATGCTGCTGCGACCTGGGATGCTGCGGTGACCTGGGATGTTGCAGCAAACTGGGATGCTGCCCTTCCCTGGGATGCTGCCCTTCCCTGGGATGCTGCGAAGATCCAGGATATTGTGGCATCCCAGATCGTTGCAACAACCTAGGATGCTGCCCTTCCCTGGGATGCTGCTGGGACCTGGGATGCTGCATGTCCCCAGGGTGCTGCATGTCCCCCCTGTGGCAACCAGGATGCTGTGGTGTCCCGGGATGCTGCTGTGACTCGGGATGCTGCAGTTCCCTGGGATGCTGTGGTGTCCCGGGATGCTGCTGTGACTCGGGATGCTGCTGTGACTCGGGATGCTGCAGTTCCCTGGGATGCTGTGCTGTCCCAGGATGCTGCACTTCTCTGGGATGCTGCTGCAAACCGGAATGCTGCATGACCCACACGTGCCGTTGGGGCAGGGGGAGGCAGGGAAATTGCCCCGCTGCCCTCCCCAGCTCACCTCGCTGCTCTCCCCCCTCTCCCCAGTCGACTTCATCGGTGGGTTTGCCCCCTACGGCTACCCTGTCCCGGGATGCTGCACTTCTCTGGGATGCTGCTGCAAACCGGAATGCTGCATGACCCACACGTGCCGTTGGGGCAGGGGGAGGCAGGGAAATTGCCCCGCTGCCCTCCCCAGCTCACCTCGCTGCTCTCCCCCCTCTCCCCAGTCGACTTCATCGGTGGGTTTGACTCCTACGGCTACCAGGCGCCACAGAAGACGTCACACCTACAGCTACAGCCGCTCTACACGTGAGTCCGCGCCAGGCGGGGGAAAGCCTTGGGGATGCTCGGGGATGCTCAGGGATGCAGGAGCCCCTCCAAGGTGCCTCATCACACCGTCGTAACCCAAAAGATTTGGGTCTGTGGGTCCGCTCGGCCTCAGTATAAAGCCCAGAGCTCCGGCGGGGCTGGAGCTGGGCAGTTTTAGGGGGGTCGTGCCCCTTGTTTTGCTTTTTGTTGCTTTTTGTCAGCCGAGCCTGGACAGGGACATGGGGGGGCTGCCCGCGGGGAGCAGCAGCTCTTCAGATAAGTGCAGCTGACTTTTTTTTTTTTACCTCTCCCTTACCCATTAAGCTTAACTAGATAAACGCTCAAATGAGATAAGGCTGCAAAATCTGAAGGGATTAGCCTCGTGCCGGCTTTGCCGGGTGCCAAAAATTAATTATATTTTAAGCCTTCTATGCAAATTCAAGGGCACGCCACGCAATTAGAGATGCAAAGAGGGGGCTGCGGTGGAACAGATGCATTTGTGATATTGCTCGGCTCTCCCTGGAAGTTTGGGCGCAGACGGTTTCTCGTGTGCCCACCCTGGTGCATGGATGCGGGTGAGCACCCATGGGTGCT